ATTTGCTGTTATATTAAAGTTTTTCATCATTACCCATTCAAGCCGTCTCCAGCCATACATTGGAATGTGCTAATAATATGACTCCTCTATGTAACTGATGGGTCAGTAGTAAATTTACGGACTTAAACGATAAAATCCGTGGTTCGATTTCCCGTAATGGACACAGCATAGATAGCCCTTTGTGTAGATTTGCGCTAAAACAACATCACATACCTCCACACAGATTTCCCAAAAATATAATTAACTTACCCTCCAAAACCATAAATAAAAAACAACTGTCTTATCAATCCTGGATAAGCGCAAGTTCAGAGAAAAACGAGAGAAAGAGATAAGGGCAAATCAGAACAGAAAGGGATTAGAAGTTTGAGGAATTCAGATATAAGATAGGAACGGGAAAAGAACGAAATTAGAAGATAAGTAACGGAAAACTAATAGTGAAAGAAACGAAGAAACACGCCTAAGCTTTCAACTCCACTCTTTTGAATTTTTTACTAGAATACCACCAGAACTTTAACTGTTAAAGGAAAAGAAGTAAAATGAAATAGAACAATTTAAAAATTGTATGCAAAAAGATATCTCGGAAATTGCCAGATTTAACATGTTATCTCACTGGAATTAGTTAAGCATTACAAGTGCACACACTAAATAGAAGTTATTCGTCCATGAAGGAAACTGCTCACAATAAACAATAACAAAGTGTTATGATTTCTTTACTTTAATATTCTAAGACAAGCTGCGAAATCCTTAGCGGGCCGAAATTATCTGAGCACATATAATTACAGGTTAACTTTTCTTCACCACTGTGGCAGTAATTAATCCCATAACACATTAAACCCTTTCTCTGTTTCCTTTGATTCAGGCTCTTTTTTGTTGTTGTCGTTGATGACCTCTTGTTCCCAGTGTCTTTTCGAAATAAAACGACTTACTCTACTCCTCTGTCAATGACAAAATTGGACCACTAACGCTAAGACCATATATCAAACTTTGAAAGTTACAAGCGCAAACCTACTTAAGTGAATTAACATCTTAAGAGCTTCTTCTATGACCCCGTTTACCAGCACTTGACATCACTAACCATAAGTAACCCCAAAAAGGAGGCTTAAGATTGCAAAAAAAGCTTTACAAGAAGTATCCATAATTTTCTTCATCCTTCCATCAGTCTTTTTAATCAGAATTTGTATGTTAAAAACTTGAGATTCTGATATAAATGTGAAGGAATAAGTAGAATTACAAATATTTGATAATCAGTTTTTATGTTTGACGTTTCTAATATACCTGAGGAACTTACAAGAATAGTTAATATAAAATTCTGAAACTTTATTACTTTTACAATACTTTCAAGCTCCCAACAGGGGCCACCTCCCACAACCTAAATCATCTCACTCCATTAAAGAAATTATACTGGTTTCTGCTAAAATTTACAGTAAAGAGGTCACTTTATTGTCAAAATAACGTTTTAACTAGTTTTTATATTTGGCAAAAACGTTTTTAAAAGTTGTTTCAATTAGTATAATCAGTTAATCTGTCACAATAAATAATAGATTACTGATCGTAAGAAATAGTATTAAGTTGGGTATGATATTTTATCCAAATCATCATTAGTTGTTATTTTGGAGATTACATCTCATAATCTACAAACTATGACTGCTCTGGAAATTTTCTATTTAAAACTGTTAACTAGAAATGTAAATTACGAACTATTAATGTGTTAATATTTGCTATATTAAGCTAAAACACCAATTTTTTTATATCTTTTGATTTTAAAAATTATTCATGTAACCATCTAAAATTTCAAGCTTTTAATAATAAAAACAATAAATCACTTTTTTTTTTATAAAAACTCTAAGAAAAATAAAAATAAGGTCATTATAAGTACTTTACAAGGAGATTAAAAACTAAACAAAACTACTAATCACTTATTGACAAAAGTATTAGGTTGTCTTGTTTATTAAACAAACACAAATTGTGTTTTAATATGAGATAGCCTGGCAGTGACCTTCTGTACATTGCAAATAGTTTTTAAAACTTAACATGAAATAGTGAGTTATGTTGTTACAGTTGTAACGTGGTAACTTGGCATTAATTTTGCTTCTATAATTAAAGACATTCATGAATATAGGACTAATAAGTCACTCAAATACAATACAGAGATCAAACAGTACTATACATATAAAAATCATATAGATGTAAATTTGCTTGTCTTGGCAGTGTTATTATAAAGCACAACACAGATCGAATAGTACAATACATATAAAATCAAATATATGTAAATTTGCTTGTCTTGGCAGTGTTATTATAAGCACAACACAGATCAAATAGTACAATACATATAAAATCAAATATATGTAAACTTGCTTGTCTTGGCAGTGTTATTATAAGCACAACACAGATCAAATAGTACAATACATATAAAATCAAATATATGTAAACTTGCTTGTCTTGGCAGTGTTATTATAAAGCACCATTAATTATAAAATATTTAATGAACAAAGGCACATTGTGATAAACTCTTCCTAATTATGTTTGTGTAAAAGTACACAATGTCAGGAGTAATACAGTTCTCCTATGTAGCTCAAATTGAACCTTTTATCTTAACTTGCCAGCAGGTTCAATTTAACTCCAAGAAAAGAAAAAGTATCTCAAGCTTTTGCCTCGTATTTTGTTGGAGCTTCTCTTTAAAAAAAATGACTATAGAGAAAACAATGAAAAACTGAAAAAAAGCTGAAAAATCAAAAATTGAATGAACTATTATGATGATGGTGGTAGGAAAATTCCATTATCTTCAGTTCCTTGTCCTGTTACTTTACGGATGCATACTTTACATCTAGAAATTCTGGATCGAAGATCTCCAGCTTTCAGAGTCTGAGATTCTGGAACTTTGAAATCAGCATTTCTCTCAACAGTTGCAAGCCAGAAACTATAGGCTGTAGTGTAGTAATTACAACGACCATGACCTTGGCATTCAATGAAGGGATTAGGTCGGAAATCTTCTAAACAAGAACCAGGAGACCAAAGAGCCTGACCACTTCCTTCTGCACCAGCATCAGTGTTCTGAGGTGAAATAAAAATAAAAAAAGTTACTTTCATCAGAGATCAGAAAAGGAATGAAAAAAGTTACTTCCATCAGTGTTCTGAGGAGGAATAACAAAAACCAAGTTGCTTTAATCAGCGTTCTGAGGAGGAATGAAAAAATTAGTTTCATGAGTGTCCTAATGAGAAATTTTGTTATATATCAGGCTCTGAAGAAAACGTTTCTTAATAGTGTTCTGAGGAGAACTTCTGTTACATATCAGTATTTGTAAAAGAATTTTTGTAATACAGTGTTCTAATGATAATTATTGTTAAATATCAATTTTCTAATAAGAACATTAGTCATATATTAGTGTTATAAGATGAGTTTTGTTATACCTCAGTGTTTTTTGTGATGTATTAGTATTCTGAGGATACTGTTTGCTATAAATCAGTGTTATACTAAAAACTTTTGTTATATTTCAGTATTCTAATGAGAACGTTTGTTATATATCAGTTTTAATGAGACATTTCTTATTTTTCAGTGTTCTGAAACTTGTTAAAGTGAACTTTATTATATGGCAGTATTCAAGGGAAAATGTTATATACATATATATATCATTCTTCTAATAACATAATAACAATGTTTTGGGACAACATGGGACCTATTGGTCCATTTTGGCTGTTCCATCCTCTAAACTAAATTACAATCATTAAAAAAACATCTTAATGCAAACCCTTATCATTCATAAACTTATCAAGCTTTTTCTTAAAACAACTTAAGTTTTCTACCTCTACAACATCCGAAGGCAACCCATTCCAAAGGTCAACTACCCTGTTAGAAAAATAAAACTTTCTTTCTTGGAGATGACTCCTACCTTGCCAAAATTTATATTTGTGTCCCCTATTCCTACTATTCTCACTGTTAAATATGAAAAAAAGATGATGCATAAACACTATCAATTCCCTTTCCAATCTTAAACACCTCAATCAGATCCTCCCTAACTCTTTATTTTTCAAGAGAAGTCAGTTTGAGAGATTTCAGCCTCTCCTCATATGACAACCCCCCCATCCCAGATACCATTCTAGTGACCCTCCTCTGAACCCTTTCCAACAATTTAATGTCTTTCCTAAGGTAAGGAACCCAGGAATGAACACAATATTC